CATACTCAGAGGCATGCACACAAGTTTAAAGGCCATTTCTTATTCACAACATGAGAAATGGGGACGTATTCCTCCTTGTCAGGGAGAAATACTGGAGCACTGGATTGTGGGGGGTGCTCCTGTTAGGAGAACAATGAAAATTCCCTAGGTGCTTCGGGAAGGTTGGTGCAGTTATGGAGGACAACAGCCAAATCAACACTTCTTTTGGTTTCTTCAGTGAAGTCTTCACATCCAACACACTGTCTTTTGTACTGTGCCAGCTGTTTTGGAAGACAGTTTATACTTGTTTTCTGCAAAAAAATCTCTGACCCAGGCAGGCTGCAGGTGGATCGCTACAGGCCAGTAAATTATAGATACAGAGGGCATATCTGTTGGTTATGTGCCTCCTGTGTGTAAGTGTACAAAACTTCCAATGCAAAGAACTGTAAATTTTGGCATATCTACTGCTGTCTCCAGTCCCCCATCAGAAAGGTTTACCAGTGATGACAGACTTAACATATATTCCTTTTGGGAAAAAGTAAATTTCCCTGGGGAAAAAAAAAAAAAAAAGTTACATTGGAAATTGATGGGCTGATAGGAAGGGAAACTGCAACTGGACCAGGGAAGAAACACAGGATGTGTCGAGCCAGAGAACAAGGATTAAGCCCTACAGACCATTTCAAGAGGCTGTATTCTGGGCTTCAGGTTCATTGGTGAGTCTTTGAGTCTCACTGTTTTGAGCAGTCCAAGGAGCAGCTTGGGCTGTGATCCCAACCAGCTGCCTGGCCACCAGCATCCAGCCTGCCTGGTGCCAGAGCTCCACTAATGGACATCCTTAACAGGAATGAGGAAAATGGTATGAGGAGACAGCAACAGCTCTCAGGAAAGGGTAATTATCATCCTCAAGGCTTTGAAGTTTCAGTATGATCAGTTTGTAAGGGTAGTCCTCATTTCAGTGAAAAGAGATTAATGCTTTCTGTCTTCGCAGTGCTTCTTAGCCATTCCTTGTCAGAAAAATATGTTTTCCTTACAAATCTTACATTCTCTGAGAGCAGATGAGTGACCAACAAACCACCACAGAGCAATGTTCAGAAGCACAGACTCAGAACCTTGGCTTGAGTATTGAGGAACTTCAACATTTGAGCCTCAGATCTCCTTGGAGCAGGCCAGAAGACAGTCCTGTACTCATACTAGAGAAAAGCATCTGTTTTGGCACAGAAAAAAAGAAGTTTTTTGGCCATGTACTGGGAAAAGCAACATTTTCCTTGAGATAAAACAGAATCTTCTCTTGACTGTTAAGTAAATGCTTCTTCAGGGCAGATGAACAGGTTTTTTGCCCCTTTATCATTTAGATTGAGCCTTCTGGGAGACCTAGAGACCCAAGGGCATCTAGGCTTGTCTGCAATAAGATGAATAGGGAGCAATTTCTGTCCCTGAACCTGCAATGGTTTCTTTTTCATTACATAAAATACAGGGGTGTTTTGGATCCACAGCTGTCATTGCTGTCACCTAGAATAATTCCTTATGCATATATACGTGTCTGCAGGTGGTGCCTGCAAGCTACCTCAGTCAAAACAAGTCCAGTGACAGCTCCTGTTTTTTAAATGAAGTTTTTCTACCAAAATTCCAAAAGAAATCACCTTTGGAAGGGGGGTACAAAGTCTTAGCCAGCCTGCTACAGGGAGTGTTTCAAGCCAGTCTGGAGAATCCTGAAGAGAGCAGAGTTAGGGAATCACCTTCATACCGTCTTTTTTGAAAGAGATGCAAGTGTTCAGACACAGATCATATGCACATGAGATTCAGGTCTCAGATTCAACCATCAAGCAGAGTTAAGTGGCAATAAGACCCTGCCAAATGGTCCTCACATGGTATTTAGTCTCAATGAGGACATGATTTTCAGCCTCTTAGTACACCAAAAACAAAAGCTTCAAAAGGACTCTCTGTAGAGTACTGCCCTCCGATTCCAAGAACCAACACCAAAGTAATATCTCTAGATACTGGGATTTGATTCTGACCCATATGAAATCTGAAAACTTCTGATCTGCAGGGAAATATTCTCTGCTGCCCTTGTCTTGGCTATTGCACAGCAGGTTCATAGTGATGTGTATCATATCTCACAGCTGCAGCAGTGAGTTCAGTAACCTTTACATTACTAGACCATGGCACTGAGGGTGATGGAAGGCCAAATTTGGCAGAAACTCAAGAGCTTTAAAAGCTACACATTATCAAAGCAACAAAAAGAAGACTGTGCTGGGTTAGGTCATTTAATTTTCAATCTGCTGTAAAAGGGATCAGGCAAGGCAGAAGGCAGCGACCTGTCAAGAGAACAGGATGAAGCAATTTCAAATGAGCCCAATTAAAAAAAAAAAAAACCAATACGTTTTAAAAAAATCTGAAGCCGTACACTAGAAAACACAAGCAAGATAATCTGGGTCTTTTCTCTCCACAATGTACATATTTAAATACCAGATCTTGGCATGTGGCCAGAATTCTGACTTGGCTGGTGAAGTGTAAAGGCAAACATATCTGCTCAGCCAAGCCAGCAATACTGGATTTTGATAAGCTGGCTCAGATTGCTTCAGTGCTCCAGAGCAGAATGGGCTGAGTGAGTGTTTTGATACTGCCTGTATGGCAGACACTATGCACTGAGAATGCAGACAATAAGATAGACAAAGAAAATGAGAAGCCCCATAAACCTGCTACTTTTCCTTCTTATTATGATGGAATGAGTTAAGTTTATGCAAAAAGGACCTGCATATTCCTCCTCCTTCTAGCAATTCTGTACACCAGCACCTCTGAGAGCAGGAGAGCTCAAAATCTGGGAGTGCACATTTCATCAGCAAAGACCATCTGGGAGACTTATTTTTACATATAATCAAGCTAACTTTAATTCTCAATGTCATAGTAATTCCCTAGAAAAGAAACAGATTTCAGTGGCTTATGTTACCTTCCTATGTAAGAGGAGTAGGGTGCAATGAAAGATACTGGGGAAATTTACAAGAATGCCTAGTAGTTTAGGAGAGAACCTTCAGCAGATTTTCAGAGAATCATATTATTTTACACAGCAGATATTCAAATGTCTGTAGGCACTTATATCTGCCAAGTGTAATGCTTAGCAGGATTTTCAAAAGCAAGTAATTTTTACAAATCCAGTTTGTACCTGTTTGAACATTAGATTTCTAACTGTGTCAGGAAGGAGGTATTTTTAGTCTGGAAATGTTGCTGTACAGCACTATGAAATTTCATGCCAAACATGCTGTTTTACCAAATTTCTACTCAAACTTTGATTTTTCCACTGGCAGCACAAAATGAAAATATTGCTGTTACAATTTCTAGCTGCTGAAATTACTGAGTTTTGAAACAAAAATTTACATGAGGAGGAGTCTGATAGAGACATCCTTTTGTCCTTTAATTGAAATACATGGCAATCAGAATATGAATTAGAAAAAAAAAAGTCTTCACATGTTAGTGAAGCTTTAATGAAGTGACTTAATTTATTTGCATATCAGTTGCAATCACTTTGTCCTTGTGTCCATGGTCCTATTAATCTCATGCCTCACTTTCATTACAATCACTGTGCTGGCATTTCATTACTACCTTTATTTAAACTCTCAGTACCTCCATTGTTTATACTTCACAATCTAGTAATATTTGGACTGCTTTTCTTCCAGATGGGGAGTAGAAAAGCTCATAGAAATCCATAAAAAAGGAGATGGGAAGTAGGCTGAGCTACCTGTTACCAACAGTCTATGTCACTGCCTTCACTGCCATCACAGGGAAGTCAAGAGTATGGGTGGAAGTTCCCAGCTACAATGCCAATCTCAGGTTACAGCAAGACCAAGTTCTACTAAAAATGCAGGTACACCATGACAAATTGAAAAGAAATGTGAAAGCACTAGCCTTGGGTGAATTTTTATGTTATCATTGAATTAATCAAATGGCTTCAGGAAATTAGAAACAGAACATTTATATTAATTTCTTGGTATTTTTTGTAAGGAAAAAACCCCCACCATCCCAAATAAAACAAAGCAAAAACAAACAAAACAAAGCCAAATGAAAGAATCCCCTCAAACTATTTATATGTTTCACTTTTAAAGACAAAAATTCTAGCCAAAATTCCTCTTTTTCTTTTAAATGTACACAGAAATTCGATGATGTCTGTTCTCTATTATAGAAATGCTTAACTCATGGCAAGCCTCAAAAAAGAAGACTTGAAAAAGCCTGTAAGAAATAAAGTAGACTGCAGTTGCCTGCTGGATACCACATAATATATCTCACCAGAAAGAAAAGCCATCAATTTATCAAAATGTATCTGAAAGGGAGAAGTTGAGTCAGTTCCACATGGCCAGTCCTTCTGACTCTTTAATGGATACATTTTGAAGCATCACTGCAGATAACAAGGCAAGAATTACTACTAATTTTGTTGTGTTAAAACTATGTTTTGGTGCTCCCCAATTTCTTTGGGGTCACAGGAAACAAAATTAGTATAAACACATTACCATGTTAACTGTACTCAAAATCCCATGGACAAATGTATCCCTTAACATCCATCTTCAGAGTAATTAAGAAAGATTAAACATCACTAACAACTTATTTTTATTTCACTTTTCTCTTCTGTTTTCAAATGTTCACCCTCTCCACTTCATAAATCTTCATTATTTGTCACACTCCATATTGATTTTTTTTCCTACTGTGTTAGTAAACTAATATCTAGAAATATGTGAACTATTAGCTGGAATCACTTTCAGAAAGTTTGCCTTTCCATGCGAACAACTTTATATAAAGCAAACAGTGACTACATATCGGTGTTTTGCTGTTGCCAAGTCCATGGGATCTGATGCTTGGCTGTATAGTTTCTTATTTTATATACAGTGTATATATACATGAGTGCATATATATACACATATACACACACATATATACATATATAATTATATATGTATACATTCACACACATATAAAATATATGTATGCATTGTTTTTTGCAAATGAAATCAGAAAGCAAGCAAAACACGACTGACCTGACTTACCTGTACTGGGCTCACAGTCAATGAAATCTTCATCATCACTGGAACATTCAGCAGATGAAACGATATCATCTGTTGTCTGGCATGTGAAGCAAAGGAACAAAACAAAACAAAAGTAAGATATTTGCAAGTCAAGAATCTATTACAGAGGCAGCTAAATATCCAAGGGGGAAAAAAAAGTTTCACAAATATAACTTTTAAAATATTTAAGTTGTACCAAGCATTCTGTATATGCCCATGTAAATGTGTCTTCCACTGAGTCGGAATCTCCTGTCGGAGTAACAGTGCCTATCCTGTGCTGTTGAATATTTCAAGTGTGCACAGGTGCTGTGCACCTGCTGGGCTGTTTAGGGCAGCAAGTGGATGACACTGGTGCTGTTGAACGAAGTACAGTGAGCTACAAAGCCTGCCGGGCTGGCAAACCGCCCTGAACAGCCACTGTAGATGCGCCTGCTGGAGGAGGCTGGGCTCCTCCATAAATACCAGTATCATGGAGGGCCAGCCAGAAGGCACTTCCTGAGAGACTCACCATGTGAGGCATGCTCAGACTGAACATGCTTTCTGCAAAGGAAAATATACAAGATAGACCCAGATAATACATATCACTCAGCTAGCAGTACTCTTTGCTGTGCCTGATGAACCACTCTGTGGCAGACATAATTCCTGCTCTGTTAATGCACCTCTTGGGCTGGGAATCTGGTGTTTAACCAGACAGTAAATATCTGTGCAACTCACTTGTTGCATGATGAAGAACTTCTGCACGTGTCAGGTATGCCCAACCTCACCTCCTTGCTTAGCAAGTGAACAGGGATGTGGATGCAACTGGTTTGACCAGATGTAAAGTCTGATTCTGAAAGGATTAAACCAAACTGAAACCATTCACAACCATTACAGGTTTCATCACATTCATTTGCATTTCCAGCTGGTGATGTTTTCTTCTTCTTCTTTTCTAATTTTCATTATTTTATATTTTTTCTTTCTGTGTGTGTACTGCTCTAATTAATGAGCAGCATGTACTGCAGCATGTTAGAAGAGACGTGTACTGGTGTCTCTTCCCAGCAGCATCTCCTGCCTGTAATTGTTGCAATTAGTTGAATTAGTAATGCAGACCATTAGGGAGAGCCTGTGGCAGCCTCTGGACACAGATTGTAATGTTCCTGTGCACAATACAAAATTACCCCAGCTCAGTAGCATTGACTCAACCACAGCTTCTGGTGAAATTGTCTCCCTTAACAGCTCTTCCTTGCAGAGAGCTGCCTATTCTGCTGAGCAGTAGGATCAGTGGGATAACTCCTGAAACAAAATAACTGAAGTGCTCCTCACCAGGCAGGACACATTGAACTCAGGAGCAGGACTGCACTTCAGTATTCTAAGTGAATATTTCTGGGAATCTCACATCTCAACAAGACTTTCAAATCCTTATTCTTGATAAAAACTCTCCAGCTTTAAATAAAGTCTCCTTTACATTCTTATATCTGCTATGGCTGCCTCCAACATGTTCCCTCCCTTTACAAAAGAGTTCTGAGGACTCTGCCCTTTCTTTAGCCTCCTGTGCTCCCAGCACTATGAAATAGCTCTGACCCCTGCTTACCCTCCCATTTCTGTTTGTATTTGAGCTAAGGGGAGAAAAAGAGAACCAAGAAGTCAGTCAGAAAGATCAGATTGAACCTAATCATCCTTCAGTCTTGATTTCAGTGGCTTAGATTGAGCCAAGAAAGAAAAACAGGATAGGTCAGTTGCAAGTAAAAATGGTAAAAACAGAGTATCTGTAAAAAAGCCAGTCATGAAGTATTTTATGCATTACTCAGTCATACCCAGCATGGTCATTTGGCAATATTTTGTGGAATGCTATCTTGCAGTAGTTTCATGCTCAAATACTTTCATTAAATACTTCTACAATCTTTTTTTTCCATGGGGAGTCAAGATTAAAAGGAACTGAAGGTAATATGTTCCTGCCTTACATGTCAAGGTCATTTAAAAAAAAATCTTCCAGTCACAGAAAGTGGAAGAATTCTGTTGAAATCCTGCTGACTTCTCTTAAGACAAGCTGGCTTTAAAATTTTGTCTGCTCAGTAAGGGGACGAGAAAGGAGGAATGCACAAAATAGAAATTTACTTTTTTCAATTCTCCTGGTCCTGTCACACATATTTTAGAAAGGATTATTTACCCGCAGAAACTTTATAACTTATACAGTAATCACATCCTCCAACAGTGGAATGCAGCTGTCCCTGGGTAAAAAGATATTAGTTTTTAATTGCACCAATGTAAAGTAATTTAGCACAATTTAGTAAACAAGGCTATAGCTCTAGAAATTTTTAAGCAGGGGAAATGCAGTTAGTGAAACTGGAGATTTATGCCGCAGTTGTCTAAGGGTAAGGATGGCATGGTGAATAAAGAATAAATTAAGGATAGTACTGTGAATAAAGAATAAACTATCCATAACTACTAGAAGACCTTGCTCAGACAGTGCTAAAACCCTGGCAATTGGTTTTGATTTCCAGGTTAAATTTAGATCATGTGGATTTTGGTCTTAGTTGAACATCTGACAATTCACACTCCTCATAGAAAAACAGTGATGATTTGCTCCAGTAGGAAATAAACATAAAAATTATAACAATGTGTTGTTCTCACTTATCAGCTACCTATTTGATTACCCACTCACTTGCTCAGATCTAAAGGCTTCATGCAACATTAATGTGGAATCAAATCCAATTGAACTGACAATGTGATTTAGTATTTGTAAAGAATGAGGAGTTCCTTTATATCTATTTTTTTTCCTCTTGCATATTAGGTGCATCATATGAAACCAGGAAGGTAACAAGGGTTTTTATTTATTTTTTTTTTTAAACTGGACACCTCCTTGCAACAGGATACTGGTAGATAATAGAAGTTTAAAGCATTTTGGAAGTGATCAGCCAAACTGAGGGCCCAAAACATCCTTCCAGACCTATTAATTACCCCATATCTATTTTGGGAAGTCCCTGTACCACAACCTGAAAAGTCATGAAGCCTGGCACTTGTTCCTCTTGTTCAATTTCCCATCACATAAGCAGCTTAAGGCAGTACATGCAACACATTTATGCTGCACTCTGATGTGTGTACTAGATTTCCTCTATAAAATCCTCTTGCAGTTGGTGTTGGTTCTGAACAGAAAAAGGCACAGTAAGCCAGACTCAGACAAAATGCATATATGTGACGTGCAATACTCACCAACCCTGTCAACTTCAATTTCTATTTGCACTTTTTCATGACTGGTTCCACACATTATTTTATCAATTAATCTCCATCTTTCTTCTTCCCCATCTCTACTACATACTATTTCATTTATCCCATCCTGCTGATTTTGTGTGTATAAAAATGAGGGTTAGAAAAAGGAAAAAAACCTCCAGAAGTGGTGTTAGATTTAAGTCAAGGTCATTAATGAGATCTCTAGTAACCACAGAAAAGATAAGTACCCTAATCTGTCTTGCCATTTCCTATCTTGTATTTTTAATCTCAGTACTTTCCATCACAATTCATCACTAACCGATTTTCTAGTCCCACCACATATTGGTTTTCCATACACCTTCCGCTCAGATACAACATCTGAATCATCCCAAAGGAATAAAGCTATTTCAGTGAGAAAGAACAGCAAATTCCTGACCACAGGAACAGGGTCAACAAAACATCCAGAAGACCATTACTTCTTGTAACAGGAATTTGTACCTTTCAAGACCCTCCTGAGGCTGGGAGTTTTCACTGGATGTTTTTTAAAGTGCTGCTTCCACAAGACAGAAAGGCTAGAGAGCAGAGACCCTGGAAATCTATCCACTAACATAATTTCTTCACATGAGAAACAGCTCACTGTGAGGCAGTAAGCAAAAATACTACCCCATTTCTGGTCACTTTCCTCCATTTTTGAAATGGTTCTCATTATATTCACCCACTGGCCTCAGGGGATAAAAGTGGATTAATCCTTTAGTGTCTGCCCAGTGATCTAGAGATAGTAAATGCTAACATTCTTATGTACAGGCAAAACGATAGTAATGAAACTTCTCCATATGCTGTGATGGAAATGATGTTTGTGTTTTCATTGGAAAGAACATGAGAGAGAAAATATTTTCCCTTCCCTATATTAGCTAAATTCTATATTAAAAATAATATGTCACACTCTACTATTTTAAAATATGTATTTCATTTCTAAAGAATCCCAGCTTTGAAATTACTTGGCCTGTATTAAAGGCCATAAAACTAAAGATAGGTATTATAATAACTTTCAATAAAATTTCTCTCTGTCAGGAACCCTTTTTATTCCTTCCTCTGAAAGATTTTTTATGGCATTTATATTATTATTTTTTCTCTCCCTCTCTCTAGTGTTTAATGAAATTGCTTTGGAATAAAACCAGGGTAGGAGAAAGTGCTAAACTCTGAGTCCACCCCAGAGGATTTATGGGCATACTTACCTTCAAATTCTTTCTCTTTCACTGAATTGGCTCCCCATTCCTTTCCATGAATTATTAGTTCTGTAATCACCTCCTCCTAATTATTCACTCTAAGGGCCTCTTCAATCTTGACACGGTGATAGTTCTACAATCTTTGTTCATTACACTGTATGTACTGGTGTGAGATATGTAGTGCAAGGAAATTTGGTATGGTGTGGCAAGACCTGCTCAAGATTACTCCATTCCTGTCCAATCTTTAAATTGCCCAAAGCCCTAATTTATGTATCAGATCCATAACCCTTGCTCCTTTGTTCTACACAAAATGGCAGGTGCTGAATCATCCTGTTCCCAATTGCAAAGTTTTTTTGACACCTTGCTGTTTGGGTACACCACTATTTAAGAAAGATTAAGCATTCTGGATAAAATAAGCTCTGTCACAGAACAGCTTTATGAAATTATAAAAAAACATACTCAGGAATGATGGAGTCCTCACTTCTAGAGGGAGAGAAAAGACAAGGACCCATAAATTCAACCCTTAGACAAATTCCTACAGAGTTACATATTGGGCAGTTGCTTCACTTGGTAAAGTAGGATTCAATTTTCCTACTTGCCTTTTTTCTTGAAATTCTTCTGCATACTATACATGTTACTTCCAATT